AAAGAGGTCAGTGGAGTGAGGAGGTGAACCTACGCCTATCGTCTCAGGGTTATCTCTTGTTACTTCACCAAGTTTATGTCTTCAAATAACGGGTAGTCTTAGTAAAAGACTTGATGTGGGATATGGTCAAAAGGAATGACCAAGAAAAAGGATGGAAGAGGAATGTGTGAAGAGCGGGCAGGGAAGACCTGAGACGAGGAAGGAAGGAAAAACATACTTGATGGTGGAAATGGTACTTTTAGGCGTAAGTGAGGCGTTTGGGGATTTTTCCATACTTTTTTCTTGTCCTGCCTTATCCTGCCATAGTTTGGAATGGCATTTGTTTTTTAACCGAGAAAGTGAAATATCTGAATGATGCCTCTGCAAATTCACCCTGAGGGAGCACTTTTCCCTTGAAGGCTGATGGAGCTGACTCAGCCAGTTGGCTGATCCACCCCATCTCTGTTGCCCCTCGGGAAGTACCTTTCTGCCAAGGAGAAGTGTAAGCTTCGGAGCAGGAGTCATGTTTTTTATTGTTGTTTCATAAGGAGTAGACTTTCTTGTCCTAACCACTTTCCTCGTGGTTATCTCACTGGTAAACACAGAAATCTCAGTAGCAAGTAGTAGATAAGAAGAAAAAAAATCTTAGACATGAGCAAGGGCAGATCTGTTTATGGTGAAGATGAAAATGGGTTGAAAATTATTTTCCTGGTACCTTGTTTCATAGCATCCTGATGAAAAGAGATTGGAAGGCCTCTCCAAGCAGCTGGACTGGGACGTTCGGAGCATTCAGCACTGGTTTCGACAGAGGCGCAATCAGGAGAAGCCCAGCACCCTGACGAGGTTCTGTGAGAGCATGTGAGTTGCTGTTTTTCCTTTTGAAAGAAAAACCTGCTGAGTACTCATGCCATGGTGAGATGAAAAATAATAGACCCATGCAGGCTCTAGCAGCCCTTAAAAAGCATACCATTTGTTGCAAAATAGCTTAGGAAAAACAGGGGGAATGGTAGTTTGTAAGAATTTATGATATCCACTTGGAATGCAGTACCTAAAATTCAATTCCGAGTGGAGTTCCTGCAAAGTCAAGGTATAGGGTACAGTGATATTTTCAATCAGCCATCTATGAAATGTACCATTAAAAATCATTTACATTTATAGATGCCGATATTTGAATTTTGATTGAGGGGACTTTCCACTGGTGAAGACTAAGTAGGATATGTGGTCAGTGGGTCATGACAGTGTCCCCCATTTCTCAATAACTGGAGAGTTAGGAAAGGGCTTTATTATATTCCTGGGTAAGTTTAATCAAGCATTGCTTGAAGGTGGGGACGGAGTGGAAATCTCTTCCATTTTTGAAGTATGAACTTTATGGTACATACATTATATCTAACTAGAGTTGTTAAAATAATAAAAGACTCACAGAGAATTCTTCAAATACTGTTTTGTGCTGCAATGTTTTAGGATAGAGATACTCAATGTGATCGTCTTTAGGAAAACCTGGGAAAGGAATATGGAAGCATTTGAGAACCTTCCCAACCAAGGGAAGATACTGCCTTGAGAGTCTCTACTCCACTTGGTGTTTGTCTTTTGGGATATGAATGTTCCTTTGTCTAACGGTTCTTGTCCAGGGAGCTCTGCCCTGACTCCAGGTCATTTAAACAAGAGAACTTTCAGGGGCGCTCTCGGTTGCAGGCCCTTTCTATTTGGGCTTGAATGTGCATTTTCAGGTTTGGCTTCTAATTATGCCCTAAATGTATTTTAGTAATTGCAACTTGAGAAGGAAACCTAATGTTATCAGAGAAATGATGGAAGGCAGGAACATATCATAAATTCCTAGGGCTGGGTAAATGTGGACAGAATAAATACAGTTTTCAGGTCAGAATATTTATAAAACAGGGAAAAAAACCTAGTAGATATAATCGGAAGAGCACTTTCTAGAACTGAAATGAGTGGCAGTTTATGGAAGAAGGGGGGTATGTATCTGGACTCCCGGTCAGAAACTAGAATTGCTCTCTGGCCTGGCCCTGCCTCACCCTCAAAGGGCCTACATTTGTCATTGAGCCACGGGTTAGAGCAGCAGTACAGCGGCTGAGTCTCAGCCCCTGTCTGCTCGCTGAAACTCACATGCTGTCTCCACCAACTAAACTCACCGGTAACTCAGTAGCCCCTTCTGTACTATACTGCGTCTAGACCAGTTTCTCCCAAATACCAATGTGCGTAGGCCTTGGTCACTTGGCAGTCCTGTAAAAATGCAGATTCTGATTCACTTGATCTGGGATGGCAGCTAAGATTCTGGATTTTTAACAGTTTCCAGGGTGATACTGATGCTGCTGGTCCATGGATCCCACTTTGAGTAGCAAGGATCAGCTTCCAGTGTCTATGTCATCCCCTTGAGTCCCCTGGTCTTCATCTGCATACTATAATAAACAGGACAGTCGTAGTTACAATCAGTTAGAAGTTATTTCTCAGGCATTACTAGTTGCATGATCATGTGGAGGCACTGTAGTGGAGAGAAGCAGTGCATAAATTACCATTATGATTTCTTCCCTCAACAAGCATATTATAATAGTATCTAGGAGATAATACATAATCTCTGAGTATGTGCAGATTGGTAGAAAATAACCAAATGTTATGTGATGGATACGAACACTCAGTAACTAAAGATGAAAGGAAAAAGATGGACAGTGGGTTGGGCATGCAGGGGTTACTGGGGCAGTGTCAGTGGCCTGTGACCTCTCTGGTGCACGAGCTGGTGTTGATGAACTCCTGTTCTGAAACTCTCTTCTTTCGGCTTCTGCATTGCCCTAGATTCTCCTGCCTTTCCAAGGTCTGTGCCTGCATCATTTCTTCTGCATTTCCGCTGTGGTCTGTAGCGAGCTGCTTCTCCAGATTCAGTCGCCAGCCTCTTATTTTCCTTACTCTACATTCATTCTCTGCGTCAAAATCATTTCATTTCACCAGCTTCTCTAGAGCCATGTGTCCAGTGCAGATGTTTCTTCCAAGACATTGTTCTGTTCTCTCCACTGACAGCTCTGATTTGCTTCCACTCCTGACTTCCTGTTTTCTCCTCTTTTCCGGATGTCTCCATTTGATTACAGGCTGCAAACTCAGGCCAGGCAGCCACTGAGGAACATTCACCCTATAGCCCAGGCTCTTGTAGGTCTCATTATCTCTCATACTCACAGACAGACCCTCCTCCAAAAACCCGCAAAACATTTTTCTGAAATACTGCTACTCCCATCTAGATGCTTTAAAACTGGTGACTTTTTCTACAACTGTTGGGTAAGTATTAGGCCACTGGACCTGACCACTGCAGTCTGGTTTTCACCTGTTTGATGCCAGTCATCCAAGTGACCTCTTCCTTCCAGAGGGCTGTGTTTTAACTGCTCAAGCCTTGGTTGTTCCTGCCTTTGTGTGTGTGGTGTCCTGGCCCGGACACCTCCTGCCACTCCTATTCATCCCCTACCCATCCTCCAAATCCCAGGCCCTCTCTCAAATGTGGCCTGTTTGGTCTAGAGAGAGCACAACTGCTCTTGAATGTTTAGGGCACTTTTTGTAAGTACTAGTATTTTAATCTGGAATCATACACTGCCTATGTAATTACTTAACATTTCTTAACTTGGCTATCCATCTCCACTTCGGTTCTGTCGTAAGTGTTCCTTGAAGAACGCAGGGCCCTGTCTTACTCTTCTGCGTTCTTCTCAGCCTTTCCCACAATGTAGGCTCTACTGAATAGCATTTGTTACATGACTGTATATTAAAATGGTGCTGTGTTTGGACATAGTTGCTGATCTTGGTTGCCACTTTGCCCCCACAAATGAGGAATGTCTGTGATCCACTGACTTAGTGTAAAATTTGTCTAGGAAAATAACCAGACTGTGGAAAACTACAAAACAATTGTAAAGATAGAAATTCAGAGGAAAAAAGGCATGCAAAGGAGACCATTAGGGAGCACCGTGAGGGACAAAACAGAACTGGACTGGCACATATGTGCACACGTCATGGGTATTTGCCTTTAAAAAATCATCTAGAGCAGTTGCTCCTAACCAGGGATGCACTTGATAATCACCTGGTAACCTTTTCAAAGGTTCAAAGGACCTGTACGTGGTCAGGCCCCATCCCAGGGTGTCACTGTGATGCCACAGGTGGAGTCTGGACATGTGCATTTTGGAAAAAATGCTCCAAGCGCTCATGACACACATCCCCAGTTAACAAAAGAGCTGACTGCTATTCCTAAATACGAAAAATCAAATTAGAAAGCAAGAGAACACTAATTTGGGGCTTGGAGATCTGGGGCTAAAATATAAAGAATTTGTAGTTTTCCTATTATATAAGTTACTATTTTAGAAAATATAGAATCCCTTTAGGGGAATCGTATTTCATCTTTTCCCAGTATGCATGCCAGACTGTTCTTGTAAGCATCTGCTGGCATGTCCGATACTTGGCACACCCATTTCATGCAGATGGACCGAGGAGAAGTTGTTCAGCAGGGAAAGTGCTGAAACATTGCTGGGACTTTTTTTTTTCTCTTGCTAGATGTCAGTCATTCACAGTCATGTCACTTGTGATGAATATTTCTTCCAAAAGCATTTAAACCCTCATTGGCAACTGAAATAGAATTTTAAAAGAAGTGACGAATTTACAAAAATGAGATGTCATCTGAGACGTTTTAGGAGAAACTGGTTCAGAAGGAAAGCTGGTGCTGGTGGGAATTATGCCCTTAGGTGGCTGAAGCTGTGCTGTCCTGTGCTGACAGTGGCGTCAGTTGTAGGTGTTTATCACTCAGGATGATACATAATAAACAATGTAATGAAAATATCTGCTGGATGGAACAGGAAGAGGCAGAGGCATAAGATACCAGAATTAATGGCTTTCCTGTCATTTGGGCCATACTTGTGCCCATGATTTTTTGAATATCACAGGTCTGGGAGTGGCTTCCATTTGAGCAGTCTCAAAGTGGTCTCTCTTATGAATAATCTGAAAATGTAGGGCAAATCCTATTCATACAGATTAATACTAATTTATTTAAATTGAAGTCTGCTCCATCTAGTGCTAAGGTTATGGAGCTTGTTTTACGCAAGATGAGGGCCCAAGAATCTCTTTTTTCTTTAAGAATTCCATTTTAGAGTTGATACTGATCAAACTATCCTCCAATGCTACCATATCTAGATGTGTTTTACAGTGGAAGTGGACTCACCAAAATCTGGGAATCTTTTGAAATTGTGACTTTATTTCTGGAAGGAACCCTGTGATCTTGATTTCATTGAACGCAGGGTAGTTCATCAGTGAAACACAAGTAGCTTAATCAGTTGCTCTCATGCCATCGTTTCAGTCCCTGTGAATCTACACAGCCCTTTTTACTTGGATAAATCAGCAGTGCTGTCTTGTGACCTCAGTAAGAAAGTGGAGCCAAATAACTTACTGTGGGGGAAGAGAGGAGCAAGGCCATCCAGGAAGCATGTAGCTGTTTCTCCTCTCCCTCCATTTCGGATCAGTCTTTCATCGGAGGAACCAGTGGGGTAAATACCTTCAACAAGTTTTCAGCCATGTGTTTGCAAACAAAAAAATAACTGAATGTTTGTAAACTCTGTCCATATATTCCATACTCTGGTGATGGACAAAGTTTCGCTAGAGAGAAAATTCAGTTTTGATTATTTCCTTTATCAGATCAAGACATGAGCATCTTCTACAAAACTTATGCCAAAATTCTCTTTGAGATTAATGGCGTTTTTGAAGTGGGGGAATAAGGAAGGATGCTATTCTAGAACACAGAACCTTCATTTTTTTCAGTACTGGGATACGTATTCAGCAATGTGTAGATATAGATCCTAAGCCTGGAAAAGAAGTTAATGATGAAG